TGCATATGGCCTTTCCCTTTAACATTCTAAACAGTTTGCTGTTCCTCTCCTCCCCACAGCCACTCAGAACACAGAGGTCATTTGCATATGTGGCCAGATTCGCCTTTGCCTCAGAACACAGAGGTCGTTTGCATATGGCCTTTCCCTTTAACATTCTAAACAGTTTGCTGTTGATGTTCTGAGGTAAAATAAATTTCCCCTTAGTGTCTCTTGGGGAAAACTATGGTTGCAAATCTCCAGGTGAGGGCTGAAGATCACTCAGAATTACAACTGCTTTCCAGATGGCAGAGATCAGTTCCCCTGGAAAAATGATGGACTCTGTGTCCTTATATCCTGCTGAGATGGCCCCTGTATGACAGCCAATGTGACGTAGCAGTCAGGGCTTCAGCTATTAAAGCTGATGTCCAGATGACCCAGATCAGTTCTCTTGGAGACAATGGCTGCTTTGGGCAGTGGATTCTATGACATTATACCCTGCTGAGGTCCCTCCCCACCCAAAATCCTGCCCTCCCCAGGCTCTACCCCTCAAATCTACAGGTATTTCCCAACCCAGAGTTGGCAACCGTGTAATTGGCTATGGAACCACTTTCCAGACCGTTGGAACCCAGAAAACGTGGCATAGGAGGAGGTGCTTTTCTACCTTAGCTGTGACTGCATAGCCCCAAATTAACATAAGCCAACCTCCAGGCGGCACCTGGAGATCTCCAGCTATTAAAACTGATGTCCAGATGATCAAGATCAGTTCTCCTGGAGACAATGGCTGCTTTGGGCAGTGCATTCTATAGCATTATACCCTGCTGAGGTCCCTCCCAATCCCAAACCCTGCCCTCCCCAGGCTCTACCCCTCAAATCTACAGGTAACAATTAGTGTAGAGAAATTAGTCATGATTTTCATGCCACCATCTGCACCAGGTTGGTCTTGTGCACTTAACAGCGTCAGAACTTGTAAAAGACCACTGTGTTCTTTTTTGTAATTTATCAGCTTTGCAACTGAAGAAAAAGTACCCTGGAAATAGCTCTGCTCCCAGAACCTTCTGTGAAAATCGTGGTGACTTGCTGGAAAATGCAGCATATTTAGGCTGAATCCTTTGGTCTTTGGCTAGTATAGTCTGGTATGCTGTAGGGCCAGGTGTCACATACTATAAATTGAACAAAATAAAAACAAGGTTAAGATGAGATAAGTAATTTCTAGAAAATATTTAAATGCCCCAATAAGACTCCAGTCCAAAGCTTAGTATGCAAATCTGACCCTCATCTCCTCCTTCACACCATCAGAATATTTAAACAATTCTATTTAAAATATTTTGTTATTACTTTTACATAATGGATTAAAAATTGATGGCAAGAATTCACTTAAGCCCTTTCTGTGACACTGTGTGCACTAATGAATTATGACGTGGCATATGTTGCACACAAGACAGTTGTCAGTTTGATTGACAGGCCTGGCTACAGTAGAAAAGAGCAAGAGTCTAGTAGCACCTTAAAGACTAACAAAATGTGTGGCAGGACATGAGCTTTCATGAGTAATCAGGGCATTGGACTAGGATCTCAGAGACCTGGGAAAGATCCCCCCCGCCCCCACCATGAAATTTGCTGGGTGAACTTGGGTGAGTCACTCTTTTGGAGTCTCAACTACTTCATGGGATTGTTCTAAGAATAAAATGAAGGAAGGAAGAGATATGTATGACCGTCTAGGCTCTTTGGAGGAAGGGCACGACAAAAATGAACTAAATAGATAGCTAAATACATATCATGTTACCATGAAGTCATAATTCTGTCTCTCACTATATGTCTACAAGCTGGTCTCATGTATTAGAATGTTCTATACTATAATTATAGCACATTTATAACAATTAATAGAAGCTGGAGTTGCTGATGGCTGCCTTTACCTTGTTAGATACTGCAAAACGTGGGGTTGTTCTTGCTCCCATAGTGTAACCTTTATTACTTTCTGGTCTGTGAGCAAGGTGGTATATGATGCTGCTCCTCTGTGTATTTAAAAAAAAATCACAGAGATTACAGAAATGCTTAAAATAATACTGGCAGAGATGCTGGGGCTCAAGCCTGTATGGCTCTCAGGCTCTAGCACCGGGCATGTGGACTGGTTGAAATTACCGAAGTGTTCAGAAAGCATTTCACTCATGGATAAAGATTCAGGTGGGTAGCCATGTTGGTCTGAAGTTTGAGTCCAGTGGTACCTTTAAGACCAACAAAGTTTAATTCTAGGTATAAGCTTTCGTGTGCACAGAAGCTTATACCCAGAATTAAACTTGTTGGTCTTAAAGGTGCTACTGGACTCAAACTTTGTTCTACTTATGGATATTTTTCCAGGGTGGCACTTTCCATACACAGAATCCCATAATTGCCCCCCCCAAAATTTATTTTGCAGTTCTTAGCAGCTGTGGGGGACTTCAGACTGAGTGGAGGGCTGGGTGGAAAGGGAAAGGGTCTGTTTAACACTTTCTATGCCAGCTTTTGGTTCAGTTAACATGCCCTCAGATTTTTCCCCTCTGTGGGAGAAATGGGGTCCTTTTACCCTTCAGGGAGAAGACCAACTGTGAGACAAAGAGAATCTTTACACTGGAAAAAAGAGAGATAAGCAGCTTCTTCCTTCTCTTGCTGATCTTCCATTCAATCTGAACTAGGTTTACAATGTGCCTGCCTGTGGCAAGTGAACTCACACCTCTGTCCTTAATGGCCCATTCTTAATTAATTAATTGAGCAGCAGGAGCAAAATGGACACTGGGACATTATTTTTGGATAATCACGCAGAGGTGATGTCACAGAACACACAGCTCTAGGAATTTCTCCTAATCTCTATGGTCCAGGGGAGGCCAAACTTGCTTAACGTAAGAGCTACATAGAATAAATGTCAGATGTCTGAGAGCTGCAAGACATGAACAAATATTACACACATGTTTTTATTTAAAAATATGCAAATTTGCTTTTTATTAACATTATATGAGTCTGCCAAAAATAAAAACAAAAGGGGTAAAAACAGATATTGATAATGACATTTATTTGTCCAATGACACTGGTTTGCTAATGATATTTATTTGTCTAAGAGAGAGAGAGAGAGAGAGAATGAAAGGTGTAGAAAGAAAGAGAAAAAGAGAAACAAAGAAAGCAAATAGATTGAGGAAGGAGGGAGGGGGGAGGAAGGAAGGGAGGGAGAGAGGGAGAAAGAGAGAAAAGAGAAAGGTGGAAAGAAAGCAAATAGATTGGGGGAGGGAGGGAGGAGAGGTGGAACGAAAGCAACTTTAAATACGTTCTCCAAGCCCCCCCCCCATGCCCCAGTGCCAGCTGGCTTGACAAAGGGATTTAAAGAGACAAATGCCTTCTCCAAGCTGGCTGGTGGGGAGGGGCTTTGAGAATGCATTTAAAGTTAAAGTTGCTTCCTTTCTCTGCTCCCTCCCACCTCAAGTCTACACAGGGAGGGGAACACTGGCTGGGGAAGGGAAGACCTATCGGGGAGGCATTCCTCCCCTTCACTACCCCTGCTGGGAGCTTCACAGTATGTGTGAAGGAGCCACATCTGGCTCCTGAGCTGCAGTTTGGCCACCCCTCGTCTTTACCATAGAAATTTGAGGATTTCTAGAGTGCAGAGGGGGACACTTTGACATCACTTCTGGGTAATCATCTGGAAGTGATGTCACAGTCTCCCCTCTCTCCAGGCTCCACCATCCAAAAGTTCCCAGGATTCATAGGTGTAGGACTGGTAACCCTAACCTGAACCCACAGTTACTTAGCAGTACAAAAAGAATGGGTGCAGGAAAAGCAGTCATGGATCTACATGTAACATGCAATTTCAGCTCTTTTTTGACCTCACATGTGCTGAAGGATGTTACCAAATTTTGCAAGCTTGCTCAGTTCAGTTCAAATATCCCTATTTCAATTTGCTTGTCCCTTGCGCAAACTGAACCCACAAGTCTGCAAGTGACACATTTTGTGCATCAGTAAAATACACTATATTGATAAGTCATATAAACAACATACACTGTTATGTATAAACACAACATAAATGGTGTAAAAATATGTTTAAAAATTGAATGGTCAAATCATTAGTACCAGCAACAAAAATGGGTGACAGAAACTGTTCACATTGGCAATGTCAGGAAATAAAGAGAAACGAGAAAAGACACACTTGCCCATCCCTGTATATATCTGTGTGTGAGCTTGGCATTGAAAACAGGTTCTAGCTTCTGTATTTGCCAGGAGAATAATGTATAAGGTGATGCTTTTCTTCTGTTTCTCATGCTACTTTTTAATTAAAAGACTATAGTCCACTTGTTACTTTATAGTTTTTACCCTTAACCTCACTGAAATTAATACTTATAAACCGTCATCCCATACCCAGACAAACGAACTACCAATTTTCCAAGGTAGGGGTGGTTGCTTATAGTTAGAATACATCATAATAAAGTCCTCATTTTGGGGAAATGGACAAAGTGATAACACTCGATTAATTTAATGGTCAGCATCTTGGAGAGACAATACAGTTAACGCAAAAGCAGTACAACTCACCTCGGCATGGTTGTACACTCCAGGCCCAAGGCTGGGATCCCCGATAACTGGTACATACTCATTTCCTAACCGATCAGGTGCATGAAAAAAAGGGAAAATTCTCTTTTCCTGGCACGATCCAAATGAATTTCGTGTCTGTGTAGCTGTTAAGCCAAGAAAGTGTGATGAGACGTAATATGTATGTTTACTCTTATGACTGAACCTTGTTTTCATCTGTGTTCTGCAATATGCACACCTATCTTGGAATGCTGGGCCACTTATAGACTCTTTTGAATCCCCCCACCCTTTGGCAACAATTCTTTTGTTTGTATATGCCCATATTCCAAGACAATGGAATGTTTCATGCAACTGATGAAGTAGGCTCCAACTCACACAAATTTATATCATTATAAATTGATTTGTTTTTAATGTGCCAAAGGACTCTTCAGCTGCATTCAAAGCACAGTTCCATCCTGATTTATAGGCAGCAACTAAACCATACTTTGTGGCTCAGGCATAACAACCAACCATCATTTGCTGCAAACCAGAAGAGGGATGATGGGTTTGTGAGCTTGAGGACTTCTACAGATCATTTTTTTAATGGTATTTTTATTTGTTTTCAACATCTCTCCTTATACATAATTGCATTTTTGTCTGGCAACATTCTATGCACTCCAAAATCAGTTGGCTCCGTGATGTGTCAATCACAAGATGTCTCTATCCACTGGCTGTGTTACGTGAGTTCTCTCCCACCCACTGCAGCCTAAGCCACTCTTCTCTGATTGGGCCAGTGTTTCAAGGTCATTTGTATATGGAAACTGATT